TGGATTTGAGAATGCTGCATTAATTGCCCAATGGGCCCAGCGGCTGGGAAGATGGCTGTTGTCAGTGCTGCATTTGAAGCAGTCTAAGGTTGTCTGCATATGTGCAGTTTTCTTGTTATCTTGATATGCAAGATGCAGGTAGATTCACTGTGTCAAATAATAAGGTGGTCCCATCTGTAGCTCATGGTCTGGGAACCTATCGTTGGCTTAAGGAAGACATAAACATCCAATCCTGTTTAATAGGCCGTAATCCACACAGTAATTTTATTGAAGCATCAGTGGCTGATGCTAGAGAACTGTTAGAGAATTTTTCAAGTCAACCAAAGTGTGATCAATAAAGTTATGACCGAGGAGCAAGTTCATAGGCACCAACTGACTGTAGAGCTTGACAATGTCTCTTGTCTCTTTCAAGTTCAAGAGATTGGACAAAAGAATGTAAGTATAGCAGTTTCCATGCATATTGCGAATAGCTTTGGTTCAATTTCCTTGAGATATTGAGCATAAAGTTGGTATATATTCCAACTTCAATCAATGGAACAAGCCAATGCAAATGGGATGGGTGTCACTATTTATTCACTTTCTATTCCTTTCATAAGTTGCCTTGTGCTGCAAGAGCTTAAGTTCATAGGAAACAAGCCAAACCATGCATACTACATAAAAATTCTAGGTTCCTTGAATGAATGGACTCGTAGTATGGGTAGATTTTTTATCAATGCCTTGGGACCTTTACTTCTCAGAGGCTGAATGGAAGACACATTTCATGTTTGCTGGTGAGTCTATGGCCTTGGTGTTAGGCACTATAGCCTAATTAGTTTGTTGTTATGATTTATTTCCATTCTTAGAAGGATTATATTTTCAGATTTTGCTTGTTATCATTTTCCTGATTTGTTTTCCAGATTTTTTCCTTGATTTTCTGAATGATTAGTTAACTTTTGTGGCTATCAATTCCTATCTGTATTTTGTTCAATATGATTGAATATTTGAACAGAGTTTCTGGAAAAATTATATGGTATCATAAAAGAAGTAAAAGAAAGGCCTTGCTGCCATAAAAGATTGTCAGGTTTGAGGCCTCTGAACTTCAAGAGTACAAGCCAGACAAATGAAGGAAAATGAAGGACTTGAGGCCCCCAAGGCTTAAAGAACACATGGTCAAGGAAATAAAATTTGGTTCGATTGATAACTGAAAAAGAGTGAGTGAAGTCCACTTACATTTGAGGGGGAGTATTGGAGAATGGAAGCCCCGCATCTATGAGTGATAAGAAAAATGAGGGTGTGCTAGCTTGCAGTAATCCTAACCAATAGCTTAAGCCATTTTAGTAAAATGGACTAGTCCAAGCACAAGCCTATACAAAAGTTAATAATGCCAAAATTTCATTGAATATGGATAATATGATCTATGTAGCTCATCACAGTCCTTTGTGATGTACATTTTTCCTGTTAACTAATTGGATCTTTTCAATTTACAAGATGTAATTTATCTGATGATTATTCGATTGTCTCCAAACAAATTAAAAACCTAGTAGTTGGGGCAGAGTTTACCTGCAACCAAACTTAGATCCTTGTGTTGATGCTGAGTCAATCTGATTGGTCCAATGTAGGATAATGTAATGTATTTCTTCATGGTTTCCTGGGGACTGGCGATGACTGGATTGCTATCATGAAGGCTATATCAGGATCAGCAAGATGCATCTCGGTTGACCTTCCTGGTCATGGAAAATCAATAATAAACGCAGTAAAAATTGCTGGCCAGGAACCGTGTTTATCTCTGGAGATGATTGCTGGTTTATTACACAATCTAATCCAACATATGACTCCGGCAAAGGTTACTCTTGCTGGGTATTCAATGGGAGCAAGGATTGCGTTATACATGGCATTGAAATTTGGTTACAAGGTATGGGGTTATAGCTGCTGTTTTATTTCCTTTGAGTTGTTTGCGCTATTGATAATTTAAACTTTTATGAAGGCTAAAGGAGCTGTCCTAATATGGGAGCCCTGGGTTAAATGATAAATTGGCAAGGAAATTCGGGCACTAAAGATGATTCCAGAGCATGCTCCATGGTTGCACATGGGCTACAACTTTTTCTTGAATCCTGGTATGCAGGGGAGCAGTGGAGGAGGTAACTTTTTTGTTCGAACATTCAGATTGTTCGGGCATTTTGCTGATCTTATTATACTGCTATGACTGTCCTTTTCTTCGATATTTTGAAGTGTGATTGTTTGAACAGTTTTAGAAGCCACCCTCATTTCACGAATAATTGCAAGCCGCTTACAGCAACATGATGTGCGAAGTCTTGCAAAGATGCTGTCTGGCTTAAGCATAGGGAGGCAACCGTAAGCATATTCAATTTTGACTGCCTATTCATTTTGCTAGCTATGACAATATTTATCTTGTGTTTGATACTTCAAAGGCGCAAGGCAGTTTTGTATTATGAGAACCCAGTGCTGCATATCTTTGTTTTTTGAGAGGTGCATACCCTGCTATTTGATTTCCATTGGCAACACAGGATATTGGTTTATTCAGTTTGATTTTCATTGATATCCTTAGTTCTTGTGCTAAAACGATTCATGACTTCGTACATAACATGTTCTATATACACAATATTTAGTAGATTGATAAATCCGGATGTCCCTATTAGAGCACTTCTCAAGAAACAAACCATTAAATACCATCTGGTGTACCATCTATATTGATTGAGGATACAACTGAAATGACCTAAGATTTTCACGGAAAGGGGCAAATCTGAATTCCTATAATATATTGAATGCATAAAAGATGAAACATTCGATTAAGAGCTGCAAAAGTTGAAGAGAAACTAGAAAAGGAACTCCAGTTAGACACAATTTTTTTTTTTTTTATCTTGGCCTGGGTTATGCACGAGTTAAAAAAAAGAAAAGTTTTATTTTGATTGGCTACTCATAGACTATTGATCATAGTTTTGCACCTACAGTGCTAGTAGAATATCTTGACTTGTTCAATGCCCATGTAAAACTTTCTATAGCGAATTAGTGAATCGCCATTCGCATATTGTCCTCCACAAAATGTTCTATGCTTATTTCTGACTCGAAAAATTTTCTTACGTGTTCATCTGAGTTTCTTGTGTTGAATGAACTCTATCAATTCAATGAGCTAGGTCCTAGAAGTAGCTGATTCAGGAAGGAGTAATTACTGATGAGTGTTAGAAATGTATTTAGAAGCTGTTTGAAATGATGGTTATTGAGCTTTGATATGCAATAAACATCTCTATAAATGGACCTTCTTAGGATGGGTTCTTCATGACTACTTGCCTCGTGATAAAAATTTTGAATTAACATTCATTGTCAATGTTATTATTATGCAATATCTCTTAATATGCAGCTTCTGTTCAGTAAAAGTCAATACGCCCTTGCAAAAAGTGTGTATTTTTTACTTCTCATTTTTTTGTTCTCCTCCCTCCATGACAGGTCATTGTGGGAAGATTTGAAGGATTGCAGAACGCCTCTTCTGTTCATGTACGGAGAGAAAGATACTAAATTTAAGCAAATTGCTGAGACAATGATCAACACAGTGAGCTCAGGCTGTGAGAGCGGGCGGAAAATTGCAACAATGTTCATCAAGTGGTTGAGGTCCCCAACTGTGGGCATGCTGTCCATTTGGAGAACCCTCTTCCAGTCATATATGCCTTGAGAACTTCATGACCAGGTTATAAATGTTTAATTATGTTACCCATTTGGAAGATCAAAATTCTCTGTAATGTCTATCAGTCTATGTAATACAAGCATGAATTGGTAATGCAAGGTAAGCCAGTCATGAATAGATATGCAAACTTTTTATCGGACTTGCATGTGACAAATGTATGTTTATTTAACCAATGATGATTGAATTGAATAAAAGAGCTTTTTTTTTTTTTTTTTGATTTTTGAAGTATGATTTGTAAGTCTTATAGATGGACAAAGTCGTATTGAGAGAATTCTCATTTGTAGTTCGATGATGGTTGAATGTGAATTAATCTATAGAACTAGGCATTAGATTGTTGTAATAATTTTATCCCTTTTTTTTTTAAGAAATAAAGTTCCAGCTGGATTTTAGATGGTTGTAAATAAAGCTTGATTTTCCTTCTACAAGTAGACTTGTGGGAGCATGAAATTGTAAATTCAAAGTACATGGATATAATAGAAATATATTCTCTCTAGTCATGGCATGGGATCATGTCCATGGACACAAATATAGTGGATTAGTGAAATATAAATCATGTTCATTTTACTTTAAATTTTATTAATGAGTCAATAGACTTTTTTAACCAGAGCTAAATGAAATATATATATATTATATATATATAATATTTAGAAATTGGTTTAGTTTGATGGCTATTAAAGAGAATATGATTTGCTTAAAAGGAAAAGAAGCCAAAAATTAATCTATATTTGACAATCTTGTAGTGAAATGCCTTCAATCATGACTGAAAGATTTTTTTTTTTATTTTAAGGAAAAGAAACAACGCCTTCAAAATGAGCTGATAATAAAGTACTGCATCACACCGTGCGGATTCCAGCTAAAATGCACCATCAGACAAAAATTCACCGACTTACATTTCAAATTCCCGGGTGCTCTCTACTCTCCTTCACGTTCTTCTTCAAGCCAAGCGGTGGGACAACCAGAGGAAGAGCCGAAGAGGTGTGGCGGAGCTTCTTAGCGCATGGATCGGAGAGATTGAATGGGGTAATTTGGAGTCCAAACAAAGCAACCCAATTCCTGGCGTAAGAATCTCTTTCACACATCTTCCCTCTCTCTGCAGTTTGATAAGTACATATTTTATAATTAAATATATATAGATTTTAGTTAAATTTGATTATATTTATTAAGTTTCATATTTATTTAATTAATATTTATATATTTTTTCTCTCATCACTTAATTATAAGATAAAAAAATTTTAATATAAAATCTACTTATATTTTTTATCTTTTATATTTGCAGAAAAAAAAAATAAATCAAATAGAAGGAAAGAAGAAAAGGAGAAATTATATATATATATATAATATTAGAATCTTTACATCGACATGGAATAAAAGAAATAATCTCTACTTAACTATAAATACTCCTCTATCAAGAGGGAAAGCATCGAATCACTTATCTGAATGCCTCAAATTTAAAGCTCATAGAAACATTTTGAAAGCTAAACATGAGATCATTAAGGAGTTCATTTTTCTCTGTGATCGTTTTTCATGATTAAGAATTTTAGAACGGTGTTATTTAATTTTATTATGTGTTTTTAAATTACCCAGTTGGGATAAAGATGTAGCTCAATTGGGGAGCTAGTTTTCTATTTCCTTTGTATTGATTCTTTGCATTTATATTATGAATATTTTTGTTTTTTTAATTATATTTATTTCTCTTATTTTTTATATTGATTTAATAACTAGCAATCATTTAATCAAATATATGGGTAATCTTGATAGACGGGAGGTGAAGAGAGAACTTAGATCTAGAGAAATAAACATAAATAACAAGGTTAGGAATAGTTCTAGAAATTTATAGTGATTTAAACTCTAACTTCACGATTTAATTAGTTGTTTGAGTATCGTGAGAATGAATTAAAACACTAATTAAAAAGGGACTAATAATTTGGGAGAATATTAGGACACTTTAGGAATAGTTGTCATTATAATTGATCCAAGTCAACTCAAAAGGTATAAATTAGCAACCTATAGAGTGAATCTTAATCCTAATTTCAAGTGATTGTATTTTTATCATCATTATTTTCTTTATTTATTTTTTATTCTTTATATTTTATCAAAATTATTCAGTATTTTTATCATCATTATTTTCTTTATTTATTTTTATTCTTTATATTTTTATCAAAATTATTATTTTATTTATTTTTTTTGAACTATTAATTATTTAAATTAGTAAAAGTGTAATTTTTTTGTGAATTTAATATCTAAAATATTTTAAATAATTTATTATTGTGATCTTATACAATTGTGATGGCGGTCACAGTTCTTTTCTTATTATTTGTTGTCTGCAAAATATATTTGAATCTCAATTCTATAATCGTCACATCGATGGTGTTTAACCCTGGATCCTGTCATTGTTTTCTTTTCCTCATGAAGAAATTTTCAGATCCTTTCGTTCTTCCTCTCTGCAATACGGCAATTACCCACTAGCTCTCCTTCGATGACGTCATCATTCTGGCGTCTCCTTGGCTTCTGGCACTATTCGATCCATCCTCAAACTCACTGCTTACTCCACCGCGCTCAACAAACTTTGCAGTCGCGCTCTCTCGCTTCATTTCTGACGTCCGATCACTTTGGGAAGATTTTGTTGAATTGCATCGAGAGGAGAAATCAGCCAGTCCCAGCTTAATTAACTTATTTTATGAAAAAAATTATTTTTAAGAAAAAATATTTTGTAAATTTTTATAAAGGTAAAGCTGCAAGTTTAACCATATAGTATTTTTTTTTAGAAATATATGATAGCTTAAATTATCTAGTGGTTCAAAATAAATCATGAACTTTAAAAAATTGAACATCTCGTAGCTTGTCGTGAACGTTAGTTTATAGATGTAATGTGAGGCTTACAATGATACATGATACTCTACGAACAATCCACTTAGAGAGCGGTAATTCAGGCCAACATGAACTTGCCTGAAAAAAGTTAGAATTGAGCTTAATTATATGAATTTTTTTAATGGGGGTAGGATATTTTAAACTTGACATAAATTAAGCTTGACCCAAATAAATTTGACCCCTAAAATTTTTGTCTTTATATGCATGTAGGGTGAGTAATTTTAGTTAAGCTTGATAGGCCAGCTCGAAGCTAACATGAGATAGTTAGGGTTGGGCTTGACTATATGAACTTTTTTAAAAAAGTAGGATATTTCGAGACAAATCCTAATAACCCAACCCGAATTGAGCCTAACCTGAATTGAACCCAGCTCACCTGAATTATCAACTCTAACTCCACGTCAGTATGTGTAAAGGTGTAAATTTAGTTATGAAATATTTTCAAGGAGAATTGGGTAGTCTCTATTATAAAAAATAAACTATATAACACGTTTCTCAATTTTGACCATAAACTGTTTATTTGCATATTTTATGATGCCCACAATGTATTAATCTCTTCAATCTTCTCGTCTTTGTTCTCAATATCAGCTCGAGAAAAAAAATTTAAAGAGTTCTTATCTAAAAATATTCACAAAGATGATGCTAATGAAATAAAAGTTTAATTTTACTGTACATGGGAGAAGTTTAATTCTAGCTTAATTTAATTATGAATTATTTTTTTTAACTTTGTTAGCATCATCTTCGTAAATGTTTTCATAACTAATATTGGAACATTTTAAAAGTGAGTTTTTTTATATTGGAAAGCAATATATTCCCAAATGTGATTTCTTATTTTTTAATTAACATTAACAATATTCTTATATCATGATAGTGATTTCAATAATGTCATTTTTTTATTTTTTTAAATATAATTATATATAAATAAATATGAAATTTGATAAGTCTTGGGTTTATATCTCCAAGTGAAATCAGGATATTTTTAAGTTATTTTTGTATATTCATTAGTGACCTTAAAACATTTTAAAAGTGAGTTTCTTTAAAAATAATTTATTTCTAAGTATGGTTTTTATTTTCTTATCTGACATTGACAATATTTTCATATTACAATAGTAATTTTAATAGTGTCATTTTTTATTTTACAAATAGTCTAATTATATGTGAATAAGCATAAAATTTAATAAGTTATTGAATTCATATTTTTGAGTAAAGTTAATAAATTTTTAAGTTATTTTTATATATTTATAAATGACTTTGAAATACTTCAAAAGAGAGTTTCTTTCATATCAAAAAATAATTTATTTTTAAGTGTGCTTCTTTGTTTTTTTAATAAATATTAACAATATTTTCATACCATGATAATATTTTTAGTAGTATTATATATATTTTGTGTTTAGTAAAAGATAATTTTATAAAGTTATGTATTTTTTAGTGTTTAATAAAAAACAATTTTATAATGTTATGTATTTTTTGTTATTTCAAATAAAGATTATGGTTTTTAATTGAAATTAATGACGTTAGGGGTTTTAATTGTCATTTTTTCAGGGAAATCTGTAGCGATCAACCTCCAAGGCTCCACGGGGAACCCAGAAGAGCACCATGCCGCCGTCTGGGTCAAAACCACAATCATTTCCAGAAAAACCAGAGACGCCATTCTCACAGATCGTACCACTGCCACAAACATTGATCAACACAATTACGCACGTTGAGATGCCCGAATTGACGCTAGATCGATGAGGTTGAAAGCAGACAAGCTAAGTCTGAAGAAATAATAAATTCCATGGAATTAAACCAATCCCAACGTACCTGAGTGTGAAGGAATCAGATTCAAATCATCACAAAACTCCGATCCGCTTGGGTTTCACACTCATAAATTTGACCTTGTGGTTGGAGATGAGGCAATTTTAATTGGCAAGTTTTGCTTTCATTTTCTTCTGCTCCTCTCCTCTCCTCTCGTCGATTCTTCGGCTGATATTTTGCTGGTTTAATAGATAATTAATACATATATTTAATCCCATTCACTCATATAGCAAGTTAATTTCAGGGTACAGCAATAAATTTGCGGAGATGCCGTCTTTTTATACATCTTTCTCTATGTCCTGTCTGTCTCTTGGAATATTATATTTTATTTTTGCAGCAGGGCCAGGGATATATCTGACACTTTTTGTGCTTCATAACACATACATCACTTGTTCATATTGTAAGAAAGAGCATATTCTGTCCATACATATACACAAACACAGAGATGGGATACTCATGAACACGTCTACAAAGATGCTAATACTTGTGTTAACTTCAACACCAATTGTACGAGCTTACAACATTAATTCGGATTACACAGTTCTGAAGGACAATTTCCTATATATTGAAATCCTAAATATGTACAAACTCCACAGCAATCACTAATTAACTGACATATACATAACCAAACATGTTTGTATCATAAAGAAATTGAGAGCATATATATATACACACACACATATTCTGTGCAGACATATACACATCTATACATAGTACACAAACACAGAGAGGTATATCAGTCACAGAGAAGCTTTACAGTGTGCTGATTTTATTTCCAAACTTTATTATACTGACCTCCCTCTCCCATTGAGCATGTCTTGTTTCTGGAGGCAGGTCCTAGGATGTATCTATGAGAAGGATGTGGCAAAAGTGAAGAAGACGGGAACGGTAAGGTAGAGGAGAACGGCGGCCCAGGCGGCGGTGGAGAAGAGAGAAAGAAGCAGAGAAGCGTTGGCAAGTCTGGGATATGAGTGGCGAAGAGTGAGGGAATTGAGAGAACCGAAGAAAGCAAAGTTGAGAGACAATACAAAAGCATGGAACAAGGAGGGATTGCTGTGGCTGAACAGAATAGTTGGGACTGGGTTTCCTTGCACCTTCGTATAAGGAAGTTGAGTGAGTGACAAAACTGCTGCTACTGTCACTGATAATACTGAGATTTCAATGATCGGAGTCTTGTTGCTTGGTTGATCTCCTTTCATTTTTGCTGCATCCTCTGATTGGTTTCTCTTCTAATGTTCTATTCTGGCGACTTGACATGGAAACCCAGAGGCAGAGGCTAAACCATATCAACAACTCTGATGAATATTTTAAAATAGCCACGCATTTCGATCCCTGACATAACATTAATATTAAGGGATAATCAAACTTTTAATCATCTAATTTATTTTAGTTTAATTGATTCCTTAAATTTAATTTTTATTGATTTGTTCCCTTACATTACATTTAGTCTTAATCAGTTTTATTTTAAGAATGAATTAAGTCTTTTTCTGGGTTGCTGCAAGTTGCAATTCTTATCTAATTGAAATATCTTTAATTTTAATATTGAAATTGACTTCAATAGATCTGACTTCTGGCTTCGATAAATCTTTGATGAGCTGTCGCCCTGTCTTTTCTGCAGATATGCCTTATTTTGCTCTTTTGACTGATATACTGAATATAATAAATTGTTATTGTTTTCATGTCCAATTAATTATATATGCTCAACCGTGGTTATTTTCCCCATTTTTAAATAAATCCCTATTTAAAATTTTCATATTTAGTGTGAATTATAATAATTGTTTCCCAAAAATATTGTCTAAAAGTTATAAGTCTTCAGTTTTAATTTGGCCAAAAAAAAACGTTATCAGTCTACACACAATTAATTAATGGTGGCATTACTTACAAGTTAAAATGAGACATGTAAATATTCTAAGTTTAATAAAAAGTGCTACACCATTTTTTATTGTGATGATATAATATATATTATAGTCAAGTCTATATATGAATGATGAAAGCATAAATAATGTATGTGTCGGTTGTGTGTAGAGATGTAGAAGAATCAATAATCACTGAGAGAATAATATTGGCATTATTCTTGAGGTTACTTCTAAGCAATAAACTGTTTTTGGAAGAATGGAAATGGCGAGATGCAAGGGAGGAAACTGGATGGAAAAGACACTGCTTAACAATTTATAGATAAGGGATGGTAGATTTTTTTTCTATTTTTTTATTTTTTTTATTTTTTTACAATCCCAAATCTGGACTGTTCAGATTAGGTTTAGGGGCGGTCCAAATTCAAAGTGTCATTTTTTTATTTTTATTCAAATAAAAAATTATAAAAAATGATAAATCTTATCATTAATTTGAATAATTTAAATTTAATATTAATGTTTCAAATTTAATTTTTAAATTTTTTTATAATTTTTATAAATTAACTATTTAGATGTATAGTTTAGATGTAAAATATTTAACTTGTAATTTTTTAAAAATATTTTTTTAAAAAATGGTTGTCATTAGATATTTGCACTATCTAGAGGATATCTAGATAGTCAATTTATAAAAATTTAATATTGAATTTAAATTATTCATATTAAATCTATACTGTTTAGAATATATTACTATATTTATTTGAATAGTTGATTTATAAAAAATTTAAATGTTACATATGGATCATTAATATTAAATTTAAACTGTCCATATTGATTATTAAACTCATTAAAATTTTTATAATTTTTTAATAAAAATAAAAAATAAAACATTAAATTTAAGTCATTTAAATTAAATCTAACGATCTAGATTTGGGTCTGGTGCAACGGAGGCTTCTCCTGAGCAAAACCGAGTCCCTTAATTAAAGCTTAAAAACTTTTAGAATTGAATGTCATGATCCTTCTTACAAGTAGGAAAGGACTTACGCCACGTTTGACATCAAGGGTTGAATTTTAAAGAATTGGGAATAAAATTGGATATAAGATTGAAAATGGGAATGACTCTTAAAATTATATTTTGCTATGACATGAAATTAAAAAAAAAAAGTAAGACTTGAATCAAAACAAAAATTAAGCAAAAGACTCAATTATCTCTGTGATCTTCTTCAATTCTTTCATGTAACTAAGTTCAAAGCATCTGCTTAAATAAGACCTTGCCACCTAAAACTAATAAAATTAAACCAAAAATCAACTTCAAATAAAAAAATATCACCTTGAGAAATCCAAAACAAACGTACTCAATTACTCATATCACCTGTAATGTGACAAACTAACAATCTCATCGATCCTTTAGAAAATCATTTTTATTTTTTAAAGCATCGATGGGATTGATGGAAAAGATGTTGTCATGGGTGGTAAGCGATACTCTCAATTAGTTTTGAAAAATTTCAATTCTAGAATTGATTTTCTAATATTAAGAGATGTGGTGATGTTGAATAATCTTATTTAGGATGAGATTAGGATTGGAATTTGATTTCTCATTATTTCATACCCATCAGGCAAATATGGAAGTTTGTTATTGTGCAAAAGTTTGAAATCTAAAATGAGACTAATCATGATTGCAACAAGGACTTATGTGTGTCATATATATATATATATATATTGAAACACATATAGTATAATTTAAACACATTTAACCGAGAAAATAATCATTCATATAATCATGTCATGAGAGTTATTTCCCTCCTCAATAGAACTTAAGAAGTAAAACAATTTTTTAAAGTTTTAAAAACTTGACACTATCAAAAACATTACTCTCTCCATTTAAAAATATAAAATATTTTTTGAAGAGTTAGATGTTAAAAAATATAAGATATTTTTAATCTTTTGAGGTGTAACATTGCCTTTCTTTAAAAGTGCCTCTATTGATAATGAGTTTATATTTATTATAGGGTGTTTAATAAAGGTAAATATAAAAAGATATGATTAGTTTAAAATTAGATAATTACTTTATTGAGAGATAAAATTTAATTAAAAATATTTTATATTTTTAAATAGAGGGAGTATATTAAAAGGTAATATAATTTTACACTGCACTAATTCAGGCTAATGAATAATATTCTCTTTATGTCATGTAATATACCACGAAACTTCCAAGGGATATAAAATAACCAAATTCATTTTTACTCAACCACCTCCCCTTTGAAATTTTGTAGGTATACGTGGTAAAATTTGAGAGGATGTTTATAAAAAAAAAGGAGAAATTTATTTGGTTACACATGATGTGATATTATGAATTAGAATTATGTATAGTCAATACTCAATCATTTAAAAAAAATTCCATAAGGTTAATTATGACTTTCACAATGTAAATTAAATCAATCAAATGAGATTCTTGTACATATACATTATATATATTTTGACATCATTTTATGTATAATATAATATGAAACATAAATAAAGTCGCATTTTATTTTCCTCAATAGCATTAAATTATTAAATATTAATCATTTAGTTAGTATTTATAAATTATATTTAATTAATTAGCACAAACAAACAAAAAAGTTAGTCAATGTTCTTGAAATAAAAGTATAACTCAATCTTTCTAAAAATACCCTTAAACTCAATAATATTTATATCAAGAACATTGTTAAAAAAATATCAATTGGTTCATAGATTTTGTAAAAGGTTTTAAAAATAGGAGCATGCAAAAATTTAAAAGGTGAATTTTAAATATAAACGAGGGAGAAATATAATATTAGTGGCGTTTAAAACCTGAAATTAGCCAAAGAAAATAAAGTAATATGATTTTAGATTTACACTAATTCAATTCCAGTTCAAACTAATAATGAATAAAGTTCTCTAGATATGTCAAAGGAAACTACTGCGAAACTTCCGAAATATATAAAACAACCAAATTTATAATTTATTAATCAACCACGTGGCCTTGTTGGATGATGATTACAAAACCAAATTGAATAAGTCAAAGTCCACGAAATGATTTAGTACAGACATATCATAATGTAAAATTGTGGACTAGAATATATATAGTTTTAATTTAAACCGGTTTACAAGTTGGCTATAAATACAAGCCACTTTCATTCATTCAAACCAATACAGATTCTTCTTCACTATGTGCATTATTGTTGAGGCCATGCAGCGATAAGAGTACAATGTCACGGGCTGAGAGTCTGGCACAGTACACGGCGCCCGTGCGGCGTCCATCCGTGACAACAAGCTAACATTTTATATGGAGTAGCAAGGAGATGTATTTCTATAGGTATAAATTCCCTTCCTTCTTATATATAGAGTATTTTTTAAAAATTTATTTTATTCTTAAATATAAGAGATATCATAATATTTTTGAGTAATTAAATAATTTTATCTTTGTTATTTCAAAAGAGGAGTATATTAATTGTATGCTTTACCTACCATTATGATATTAATTATAATATTATTAAGAGTAAAATTAAAATATTGTTGTAGTTTTATGTGCTTTCAACTAAATAATAAAATTTTGAAAAAAAACATTACTTTTAATCCTTGCACTTTGCTTAGGTTTTAATGTAGTTCCCTGTACTTTTTTTTTTTGTGTTACAAGTTCTTACACTTTTCTCCATATACAATGTTAGTTCTTACATTTTTAGAGGAACATTGATGTGGCATAAATGATATTATTAATGTTGATATATCAATTAACACTATTAATTTTGTGCTTACGAGTCAAACTAATGTTGGCATGAATTTTTTAATAAGCAAAAAATAAAAAAATAAAAAGCTTATATCAACTGAAATAAAAATGCTGACAAGGATTTTTTAACAAGTAAAAATTTAGAGATTCTAGTTCAGTCTTTTCATTTCATTTGATGTATTTTTTTTATATTTTTACTTATTAAAAAATCCATGTCAACATTTTTATTTTATCTAATGTTAAGCTTTTTTTTTTAAAAAATTGCTTTATTAAAAAATTCATGTCAGCATCAGTTTGACATGTAAAGACAAAATGAATGATTTTAATTAACATGTCATCATTATTAATACCATTTGTGCCATGTCAATATTTCTTTAAAAATGTAGGATCCAACGTTGCAAACAAAGAAAAATATAGAGATCTGAAATATATAAAAAAAAATAATTACAAGGACCTATACTGAAATCCAAGCAAAGTGATGGAACCAAAATTATTATTTTTTTAAAAGTTTATTGGTATATAAAATTTAATTAAAAATACTTTATATACATGAATGAATAGAGTATATGTTTATGTCTCTTGTGATAATTACATGATATTTAGTCCCCCTGGCCTCTCTCTCACACACGTACATGTAAAAGTATAAATAATAATAGCTTTAGAGTTTAAAAAAAGTTGGTTATTTCTCTAAATTACTCTGTCAGGTGCATATATAATATATAATAGCATTTAAAAAAACTCTTTATTTAGCCTAAAATATAGAATATTTGGTATTTTTTTCAATTATACTTTTACTTTATTTATTATTTCTTTTAAATAAAAAATTTAATGAAGTAAGGTTTCAACTAATTTTTTTTTTAAATCATCAAGTGGTTACCAATATTTTAGACTGTGAAGTATGAGATTTTTTTTCCCCCTTGATAAACTTCGTTCCTTCGTTAATGATGATCATTTATTGCCATTTGTCACTATTTCCAACATATCTTGTTAAAAACAATTGATTTAAATTAAGGGGAAAAATATTGGAAAATCTTATGAATGTAGTGCCTCATATTCTATCCAACTGCAATGCCCCATACAGTTGGATATTAATTTTATACACACACACATATATATATGAGCACATGTATAATATATATTGTTTCTATCAAGAGTTCAGCTTCTGATGAATTGCTGGATGTTTTCAATATTAACATGCCCCCCTCCAATTTATTTTATAAGATAGTTTTTGAAAGTGATTTAGGATCCCAAAATTAAATATAAGATGTTTTGAAAAATAAAGTTTTATTATGATTATTTCAATATTATTTACCTCTCATTATTTCACTTCTTAAAATAAATTTCTGTCCCCCCTTTTGCTGATGAATGGAATTTTTAAAGCTTTATGTAATAGTTAAAATTTTAAATTATATTTAATAAACTTTATTGATATATCCCCTTCATTCAATATTGTAAGATATTTTTAACTAAATTATACCTCAAAATGAGTTAGTTAATTATTTTTAAAATTACACATCCTTTTTATGTTTATTTCTATTTAATAAAGTATTTCAATAAAAAAAATATTATTAATTACACCTATTTTTGGCCAATTAATTACACCCTATGATTAAATGTGTTTTTGGAAATCTATCATTAATTTTACCTTAAAAAACATAAGATATCTTCTATTTTTCAACATCTTATATTAAAAAGATGCATGCCTGATATTTTTAAATTGAGGGAGCATGTAACCTTGCCAAAAAAAATTATAAATTGAAATGAGTGGAGTATATGCTATTTTTAATTTTTATTATGAGACACTTTTAACCATTTTATTGTAATAAAAAGAGATGGTAGATTCATTAAATTTGTTAGGAAATTATAATAAATTAAAATTTTAATTTTACCTCTCTTTAAATGAAAAAATTTTTAAATTTATATTACATTCTCTTATAATTAATGATTTTAAATATGAATAATATTAAAAAAAACATAATGAATACTTTATCCAGTTCTTTATATTAGGGACAAAATATAGGGACCTGAGATAGTACTTTTTATGATATTTTTTTTATTTACAAAATCAATCGAATACTTAATTAAGATAGTTAGGCATAAGTATATCCTATTATCTTAACTATACTTGGAGGACACATTTTTATTGGATGTCCGCGAAGACACATTACTAATTTTCACAATATACCAAATTTACCCATTCTCTTGAAGCAAACAAAACGTTCCTAACATAAGTTTCTAATTTTTCTGTGAATATTTTTTTTTTTCGCCAAGAATTTTTCTGTGAATGTTAGACTTTATGATTACTCGTCTTGATATATCCCATGCACTAAGTTAATTTTATAATATTTTCATTTGTAAAAAATTATCTCGTATATCTAATATACATCCCAACCGAGTCATTTTAATTCATAAAGTTAAATCAAAACCTTTGTAAAAGACATTGAGCAGGCTTTAGTGCTAATCCAACTGTCATTGGTTAATTTTATAGTTAGTATAAAGATTTTTCTTTTTATGATTCTGGTCTTTTAATTTTGCTTTAAAATGTAGATTTCTCTTAACTTGTATATATAATTTTTTTTAAAAAGTCAACGGTAACATTACTTTACATTTTGTAGCATGAGTTAAGAATAAAAATTAACAGTAAATTACAAAAACAAAATAATATCTAGTCATACAAATTACTAGTTACTATAGAAAAAATTGATTATATATGGTAAAAAAATGTAGAAAATAATTAAGTTACTTGAGTGAATGAGAATTAATAAATATACTGAATAATTCTTGGAAATGAACAGAAAAAGAATGCGATTGGACGAAGAAGAAACAATGGAAATCAACAGCACCGAAAAGGTGTGACCAGAAGACTCTTCATTTTTTTGTGGCAATGATCATGGAGACACATCCATCTAAATACGTGGCAACAAAAAATATTCTGTATGTATTTCACCCTACTATTTAAAGGAAAAATACTTTTAAATGTTATACTATGTTTTTGTGCCCATTTTGATTTTTGAGGGGAAAAAAATACTAACTATGAATTAACATGCGTTTAGAAATTTCATTTATTGATTGCATTACATTCTCTTTTATATTTAAAAATTTTAAAGGATTATACTTTTTCTTTTGGCAAAGAAAGAGGGACTTGGCCAACCTACCTTTGTGATGTTTGTAGGGTGCAAGAGGTATTCGAAATCAAACCAGAACTAAAAATTTAATCACACTAAATTGAATTCAGGTGGGATTTGAATAGATGAATTTTTTCATTTAATAAATTTTACATTTGAAATGTCAAATTTAAAATCTTTTATTTGGGTAGTACAAAAATCCACATAAGAATGAGTTGTCTTACTTATATGACTTATCCATGTCCACATATTTAGGTAATATTGAAAGAGATTGGTTGAGATTTGAAATAACTATGGTAGGTTATATTTTTGAAACTTTAAATGAATTGTAATAAAAAAAATTGATCCAAATTTAGAAAACTTTATATTTTCAAAAATGTATTCGGTCCAAATTCAAATTAATCCTCTCACAAATCCAAATATAACATCAGTTTATTTGTTTGTTTAGTTTTCTTCTTTATCATTCAATATTCATAAGATTATGAGTCATCATGATGACTAAATGAAATTGAATTTTCAGCCAATGGTCTTATAGATAGATCCTTCCTTAAAAGGGCATTTTTGGGCCACTAGAGACCCAACCCTTACAGGCTTACGCTATCAAGGTTTTTGTTCTTCTCTTTTTTTTTTTGGGCCAAAAACAAAGTCCATTTTATTAAGATAAAAAAAAAAAAAAGAGTGCAAACACTAATCAGAAAAAACATAAAGTAAAGGAAAAAATCTAGATATAACCTACTTAAAAAAAAAAAAAAATCAGACAGAAAGCAGTAAAAATGAATACAACATACCCTAACCCAAGAGCTTAAATCAACCTATTCCCTCTGGATCATGCAAGTTGGCAAAAAAATTAACCCCATGAACATCTTTCTTCTTCACATCAGCTGTCACAAGCAAGTCAGCAGAAGGTGCTGCTCCATCAAACCATCCATTAGAACACACCTCCTTACAACCCATCATTGCCAATCAGTTTGCAACCTCATTTCCTTAGCGAGCCACTAAGGAGAAACACACCCTACTAACCAATCCTTTCAAAGAATTTCTTGCACCAACTGCGCTCTGCCATTCACAACTCAGACCACCTTTTCCTTCCAAAAGCTTGAATAAAGTTTCACAATCAGTCTTCAAAACCACCCGATAACTTTCGAATTTCCTTTCAATAAACCAACCTTCCTTAATTGCAAGGCATTCTGCCATAAAAGGAGACACTACCTTCACGCTTGGCCCCAAACCACCCACAAAACAACTATTAGAATCACGACATACAACACCTACACCATCTTTCCCACTCTTAGCAAAAGACCCATCCACATTTATCTTCACAGAACCCACACATGCATGGAGGTGTGCACAATAAACCACGATCATAGTTTTGTGTAAAAAAATGCTGTTGCAGCACCACTTCCTTCTTTCTCATTTCTCTTCAATTATCTACCATACTTATAGCATTTAGAATCACACGCTCAATACACACCCGCTGTCCTCCAAAAAGCCAATCACATCTTCCTTTCCAAATGCCCCAACATATTTCAGCAATAGGCTTTAACATCTTCCTCTTTCCTGCATCAACAAGCCCAGACTACACCTAAACCAACAAGCTTTAGCCTAAGGACACATAAATAATAAGTGCTCACAAGTCTTAACCTGTTCATTACATATTAGGCAAATAAGAGCGTCAAAGCACTTCGTTTTATATAAAGCACTCTTAGTTGCAATAGCACCATTCATCACATGCCACAAAACTTGTTTTACCCTTGGTAGAACATTCAAACTCCAAATACTCTCCCAAATTTTAGGAGAAAGCTGGAACGACCTGCTAGGATTCCTCGCACGAGCCTCCATCAACTCCTTCCTTTGTTTCTCATGTGCAATATGATGACCTGATCTAACAAAATAAAAACCATCCCTACAACACACCCAAATCAGCTTGTCAGCACATTCAATCATAGGTATGTTGATTTTCAATATTGCCTCATAATTTGCATTAGAAATAAGAGATCTAATAAGATGAAGATCGCAATTGCCATCATTCTAGCAACTTCTTGTCCTCTTCTGGCACTCCTTTTTTCAACTTTCCTCTATTTAAACCTGGGATCCGAGCATCATCCTATGCTCTCCGTTCAGAGCTTCTACCAATTCTCCACACAATTATTCGACAAAAAAATCCCCACCTTCCAATATACTACTCTAACACCACGAAGCCTTACTTCCTTTTTTGGCCTCTAACAGCCCACATTTAGAAAAATAGAGGCCTTTCAAGAGCTTGCATTAGAAATCATCAGACTCTTGAATTAATCTCCAAGCTGTTTTGGCTAATAAAGCTTTGTTAAAAGCCTTAAAATTACGGAAACCCAACCCACAATCTTTCTTTGAGCAAGTTAACAATCCCCATCTCTTCCAATGAATTTTATTTCCCCCCTTCTCATTAAATCCCCACCAAAAATTTGAAATAATCATGTCCAGTTCTTTACATGACTTCACTGGAAAATTAACACAGGTCATTGGATAAACATGAATTGCATTAGCCACTGCCTTGATTAATACTTCCCTTCCAGAGAAAGTAAGTAATTTTTGCTTCCATCCTTGAACCTTCAAAACCACCTCATTTCTTACAAAAGCTAAACCCTCCACTTTACTTCTTCCCTAAATTACAAGTAGACCCAAATAAATTTCTGGTTGATTAGCTTCTGGAATTTTGAGAATGTTACTCACTTCACCCCTCAAATCATCAAGAATATTTGATGAAAAGAACAAACAAGATTTCTCAAGATTAATTTCTTGACCAGAAGCCTTACAATAAACCTCAAGTATTTTCTGTAGGACAGAACAATTTCTCTAATCAACCTTAATGAAAAATAATGAGTCATCTGCAAAATATATATATATATATATATATATATGTGAAAGCACAGGGCACTCCTTCGCTAACCTTATCCCCTCAAAGTCACCTCTCTCCACATGATAATTCAACATCTGAGAAAGAACATCAGCAACAATAATAAAAAGGTAGGGTGAAAAAGGATCACCTTGTCTTATTCCCCTCTTAGGCTAAAATTTTGAAATCTTTCTTCCAGAAATAATCAATTCAAATGTAATAGGTGAAACACAGAAAATGATTTTGGCAACCCAGCATCTATCAAAGCCCATTTTCAACAATACTTCTCTCAAAAAATCCTACTTCACATGATTATAAACCTTGCTCATATCTGCCTCAATAGCCACCTCAAACTTCTTCCTATCATGCTTGTGTTGTAGAAAATGAAAGGCTTCATGCGCCACACAATATTATCTTGAATCATCCTTCCAGCAATAAAACCTCTCTGCTATTGAGTTATGCATCTATTCATCAAATCCCTCATTCTATTAATCATTATTTTGGTAATGACTTTGTATACCACATTGCACAAGCGAATGGGCCTAAAGTGACTTACTGTTTCTAGTTTGTCAACTTTAAAAATTAAAACAATACTGGTCAAATTAATCATATTCAGCTCCAGATTACCTTTGAAAAATTGAATCACCATTTCACACACTTCTTCCTTTACTTCTTTTCCATGAGGTATGATAGAAAAAACCAGAATAGCCATCTAGTCCTGGTGCTGTCGAAGCATTAATCTGAAATATAGCTTGTTCAACTTCTTCCTTCAAAATTGGTAACATCAAACTAGCATTATCCTCATCAAAGATAGTCCTCCTTACATACTGTAGAGCTTCATCCGTTGATCTAGATCCTGATGAAGTAAAGAGTTTCTTGTAAATGGAAAAGAAGGCTTTTGTTCTCTTCTACTCTTCATTTTTATGCACGTGCCAAAAAGAAATTTACTTTTGGCGTTTCTGCATCATCTAATTTGATATTATAAGTTCTCAATTAAAAATTTCTCCAATTTTAATTCTCAAAAATAAAATTATCTTTTTGTAGAACAAGTTCCTTATATATATATATATAAAATAAAATAGTAATAATTTTTATCACCACTCATATAGATGTGATTTTAGTAACTTCACACACACACACGCAATTTACTTAAAATCGAACCTTTTATATCTTTCTCTCTTTAACTATATATTTTTATAACTGTAAATTCAATATAATTTATTTAAAGAAGAGTCGCAGCAAAATTTCAAAAGATCATATTGATGATTATTAGATCTTTAATAATTCTTTTTAAAAAAAATGAGTTGCTAATATTGATTAGACGATTGCAAACTAGGTCCTAGTTGCAGACTACAAGAGTAAAATATACCAATCTACCCTCTATTTTATCTTTATTATAGGGACTTTTCTTTTATTTTTAAAACCTATTTAAACATCACTTCACTTCTATTCATATGAGAGTAAAATACATTGACGTTCCTTTTATTTTACATTAATTTTATATTCCTTTCTTCTATTTTAAAAGCTTATATAAGCCCTTCTTAAAATAATACTTACTAAATACAAACTTTCCTTCTACTTTTAGAATTTCATTCTATCCATCTAATCATTAATTAACTGTTAAGTTTTATATATTGAACTAAAATATTCCTCTTTAAACATAAATTTTATCTAAAAATCATTTAAATCATCCCAAAAAAATTTAATGGATATTTTTTTACATTTTCATTCATATTTTAATTTTTTCAGTTATAGAAAAATATTTATTTAATATTTTTTTAAAAATAAAATTTATAAGTTTGATAAAATAATTATCAAGCATATATTTTAGGAAAAAACTTAATGAAATAGAGATTTAATAAAATAAATGATTAATTAGTCAATGTAGTTTATGGTTATTTTTACTTAAATTTTTTAATTTTAATATTATTTTTTAATACAATATTTTAAAGTTATTTTTTAAAATATCATCATACTTAATTATTTAAAGTCCCTTAAACTGGGGTCAGAGTGAGAATAATTAGATTATAAGGGTGAATTAATAATTTTTTTTTTTTCAACAAAATTATAAGTAAAAAATTAAGTATTTAAAAATATTTTATAGAATATTTTTAATGATGTTAAAAATTGAAATAAAATATAGGCTTTGACAATGGAAGAGAGGTATATATAATTTTAGCAAAATAGAGGGAATGCAGGTGTACACTACTATTTATGTAAACTTTTTTTTACATTTTTTTAAAAATTTTAAATATTAGGATGATAAAAATACTATTTCAAACACATATAAATTAAAATTTATTAAAATAAAAAATTTTGACAAAGACAAGGAGTTAGGAGTTTAATATAATGAGAAATAATTTAATTTATATAAATTATATTTATTATATTAATTTTAATATTTTTAAAAAATGTTTATGTAAATATAAGCGCAATGCTTTTAAAAATAGTAAGGGAGAGAATATATTAGATTATAAGAGGAATATTAGTAATTCTAATTTTTTTATTGGTTTTAATTAATGTAATAAAACATTTTAGAATCATAAATGGAATCTTCTTACTAGTGTTGAAAAATTGATTAAAGTTTAGATTTTTGAATACAAAAGGAAGGCCTACGTACATAAGTTTAACAAACTTGAAAGAAGGTAATTATATTTTACTCAATTAAAAATTACATTTAAATCTTAAATGTATTATTTAGCCTTGAAATTTTTAAATTTTCATTTTTTTTTTGAAATTATTAATAATTAAAGTATTATTAATTTATTATTTTAAGACTTAACTATTATTCCCCCTCTATTTAATATGAATTTGGGTTTTGCATCCAATATTTCAACTGACAAGCGTCCCGTGATGGGCCTAATATATAGGCAAATAGATCAGCCTAATTGCGTATACAAGAATGTTATGTTATCTTCTTAATTATAAAGCCCAGTTTATTTATAACGGTTTGACCTTCTCTAATCTCTTGGGTTTCTTTTCTTATTTTTGGTAATATCTCTAGTCTAGTTCTTTTTCCTCAATGGGCAAATGATCTTGTTGACTTAAGTCAAATAGTATTTGTACAGCCCAGTCTACTTGGGTTTTCTAAAGGTTATCTCCTTACTAGGCAAATGAATCTTATTGTTTTATAAAAAAAAAAAATTGTTATTGACAGACTTAACACATGAATTCACCCACCTGATTGTTTGGAAAAACAAAAAAAAAAAATTTCAATATAATGGAAGAAAATTGTAAAGGTGAACAGAGTTTTTTTTTTTGTGAAAAAAAATAATTTAAAAGGGGAACGAGCTTACTCATTATATAACAATATCTTTTTTTTATTTTATAACACTCATTATTATCAATTTCAATATGCCAATAAAAATAATTTGATCTTGACTATAAATATTGCAATTTATTTTTAACTTAAGCCTTGATATTTTTTTTTTAAAAAAGGGGAGTAGCCACTTTAGAGGTAACAAAATGACTTCCTTCCAGGATTCCCAAGGAAAACGAGGCTTATTTTATATATATATATATGTATATATTTTAATTTTTCAAAATAAAAAATATTATAATTTTAACAGGGAAGATATATCACTTAGAAACTATAAAAAGTTTCCATCTCCATACGCATTACTTCCTCCATCCTTAATTCCTTATATGTGTTTTTTAAAACCTTATTTTATCCTTAAACATAAAGGGTGATAATGATATTTTTAAATAATTAAATAATTTTACTCTTATTTTAAAAAATGAAATAAATCATTAATTCAATTATATGTTTTTTTTACTATCATTATGATATTATTAGAAATAAAACTGAAAAATTATTGTGTTTTTATATAAGTTTAACTAAATAATAAATTTTTATTGAAATATAAAATTCGATTAAAATACTTTATATATAGGGATGAAAGGAGTATTTATATATTAGTTCAAAAAATCAAAGAAATCCAAAGTCTCAAGCATCCACGATATTTTATTCTCAACAGGAGTAACTTATTTTTAGTTATGAAATTAACTTCTACGTTCTAACTTCTAACATTATTTTTCATTATCCTAATTAATTTCTTACACTGTCTCCCGCCGCCCCTATCGTTTGTTGACCGCGGAAATAATATGCTTGTTTGAATAGATAACTGCCACTTGGCTGGGAATTGCTCCAAAAGAAAAAAAGAAACATTAGATAATGATCAACTGACTGTCATCCACGTCGGCCCCTTGTGTAGGAAATGACGGTCCATATAATTGGGACGTATAAGCTGGTAAAAAAAAAAAGAAAAAAGAAAAAAAGGGACGTATAATAATATTTACAAAATAAATGGGAAAAGAGAGGAGACTCGTCAAAATTATAATCATACGCATACGCACAACAAAACAAAACATTAAATATTGTAGAGTAATATATGGCTTGTCCTGTTTTCTTTTTTAATTTTATGATGTTAGAACAATTTTGTAGAGTAATTTTGAGAATAAGTTTTGGAAATAAACAATTAAAAAATTATTTATGTTATTGACATAGTTGTAATTAATAAAACATAATATTTCATAAATTTATCTAATTTTCAAAAATAAAAATTAACAAAACATCATAAAAATGTTGTCATTTTTAAGTTTTTCATAACAACTTTTAACTTTTTTACTTTTTAAAATAGATAACAAAAAACACATTTTCAAACATATTTTTTGTTTTCCCAAATAAAAAATCATTCTAAAGACAAGTAATCAAACAAACCCATACTTCCTTCTATCTTATTCATAAAATATAGAAAAGAATTTTTTGTCATATTTATAAGTCACATCATTAAATTTTTATTTCAATTTTATCTTTTTACTCTAATTAAATATTGGTGAGAGAAAATATGTTATGATATGTGTGTGTAATAGGGATAAAGTCAAAAATTTATTAAATTTTTAAATAAATTAGTTTTTGAGTTTTACTAAGGTTTTAATTTCCTTGATTTCCATAAAATATATTAAAAATATCTTTTTCATAGATTAATTTCTCTTAAAGTACAGAGAAAATAAAGATAGATACAATTCAACTAGATTTATTGTATATACAACACAGATTGAGAGAATTGGACTTTCAACCGTGAGAGCAAGATCGATACACACACACACACACACTCACGCCAATATAATCTAACATGCTTCTTACTATTGATTATTAATAGATTATTAATTTAATATTAATATTAAATGGATATGACACATGAATGTGCACGCACAACTTAGTCTTCAGTGTATCGTATAACTATTACATGGCCCCAAAAAATAAACAAAGTTATCTCTCATGCCCTTTGAAGAAACAACGACGCATATAATCAACATCATGCTGTCATCAATTACTTCTCAATTTCTATAATATTTGCAAAAAACATTCACATGAGATTAAAGTGTATTCATTTGGCAAGGAAGGATGTGGGATCAAATGCCTCTACCAATGTAATGAGGACTTTGTTGGTGGGTGAACAGTGAGATTTAGTTTAATGATTTTAGAAGTTATGAGCCAAATTCTTATCCACTTGACTAACCTTTATTGTATTTACAGATATCACTTTTCTTAAACTGTGAGGTACTCAAATTTAGTGCCCATAACTTTGAGGGTTATAGGCAAACCAACCTTGTTAGTATTTATAAATAACACTTCTCTTAAAATGTGAGGTGTTTATATTTAGTACTAAATCATATGCCATATAGGATACCTTTGTTGGTATGCTTTGTTTGTTTTGTGTTTTTTTTTTTCTTCATATTGATAACCTGTCATATTAGTGCATGGTTCCACCTTTGCAGAATATTTGTTTGGTTGATTTATTTTTGAATGGGTCTCATGTTTTTAAAATATACACCTGTGCAATAAACAGTTCTAGCTATTTCAAATTCTTCTAATTTCACATAGGCATATGTACATGTGTGTGTGGATCTTTATCATTTTGAATATAGAGTTTTTATGATTTTCTTGCACTTATTTTTATGCATGCATGCTTCCCCTTTGTCTTTTTATAAAGGTACACAAGTAGGACTTCAACTCTGAACGTAAGACGGCTTCATACAATTAAAGCAAAATCTGTCATATCTTATTTTAAGATCGAGGCACGGTTATGTCCTCATTTTGATAACGTAATACTTTCTAGAATGTGGTGGGGAAAGAGAGGAATAGGGTTTCATCGTCGTTCATTCAATGGATAAGTGACCACCATATATATAACATGCCTCCCCACTTAATCTATAAATAGAGATCAGTGAGGGCTAGTTTGGTGTCTGTTCAACCCTTGTCAAACATGTCTATGTCTTCCTCTGAGTCTGATCATCACCATAGGGAATTCATGGAACTGGTTATTGTTCCAACCAATCCATTCACAAAGACTAAAGAAGCAGACGAAGGAGAGAGTGTGAGGAAGCTATTGCCTACTGACTCATCCAACTCGATCCCGCCGTTCCCATATGATGATCCTCCTCTCTCTGAATCTGCTCCTTCTCCCACAGCTCCAAACCACCAAGTTCAAATCCAAATCCCAGAACCCAACCCGCAACCTGATGATGCCGACCTGACCCACCCGGTGCTGGAGATAATTGAGAGTCAAGAGCTTGGAAAGGCTATAATTGTGATGGCTGTGCCCATGTTGATGGGTCTATTCACTGCTTATCAGTATTTCACCAGCACTGTGGAGATGAGCGTGGTTGTGATCAGCCTCTGTCTTGCTTTTGCTTCCATCTTGAATGGAATCCTCTCGAGAAAGACCTGTCCCAAGTTATCGATTCTCCTTCTCATGTCAGGAATCGTCTTGATGATCCTGGCTTTCTATGCCTATTCGGGTATCATTTTACCCGTCTACCTCAAATGGATACCCGTTGCCTGTTTCTTCCTTTCTATTTTACCACTTGCTCCAGTTTTTGTTGGCGTCATCTACAGCAGGAGGAAGAAGGCCAACAATTAAAAGTGATCTTCAAAAGACACATCCATCTTAAGGAGGCATAGCTAGAGATTTATGGTTATATGTATCACAAAACCTAAACTAGTAGTCTCTAGTTATATATTTGTTATATAATCTGAACTTTGTAAAGGTGAGCAGATAGCATACTTTTGTGTATATGTGGAGTTACCGTAACGATTATCATACTATTTGTGTTATGATATAAATATTAAATAAGATTTAGTAGATATTGTTATGATATATTATTTATCGAGATTTATTTTGTTGAGATTTACAGAATACTTTCTATTTACTAGTCATTATTAAGATGGTCTATTTTTGTGTATATATTAAGCTTTTCATATCAAAAATGCACCATCACATATTTTTGCATCTCCATTTCTTTCCCCCATAACTTCTTTCAGTTTGATCTCCTTTGCTTGGATTTGGTAATTAGCTGCACTTAAATAAAGTGGATGGATCCATTGAGCAACTCTTCCTCCTCCAGCCTTCTTTCTTCACACACACACGTACCCTAAGACACTATACTCACATCTACCATATTCTTATCACCTAAACTTGCTTTGAGCGACTATATTCTAACAATGAATAAGTATGTTTTTAGACGGAATTCCGTACATGAGTATCTGTTGGAAGGTTGAAGTAGTCCGAATAATATTAATTATCTGGTTGTTGATGACACCATATATATAAAAGGTCATGTATCCCTTTATATTGAGGCAGGTAGATCCATTGACCAATTCTTCCTCCTCCAGCCTTCTTTCTTCTCGTCACCCTTAAATGAATGGTAGATCAATTATTTCTTGTTAAAATTGATTTCTTGTCGATATTTTGTTTTTTTTTGGGGTTTATTATTTCTGTTATTTATCCAATGAATTTTGTTCAATTTAATGTGGTATCACAAGCACGTCGTTTTTCCGATGGAAAGAAATTAGATGTTCAATTCAAGCAAGCACACATTCTCCTCTTTATTTCTTCTTTATTATTATTTTTTTTGCAAAATCGACAAACCCCTCTTTAATTTCGTTTGATACTTTGAGCCAATGAATTTTTTTTTTCTAAATTGGACGTGGAAAAAAAAAATAGAGAATTGAAAATTTCAGATTAAGTGCTCCCATAGATTTCGCATTTATTTTTTCAGAGTATTTTCTTATATAAGCACTCCAATAAAAGCGCTATTAATGTACGCATTTCTCATATAATTACGCCTTTGCTTAGTCAAGATGTCATTTTTGCTTAATTCTTGATTGAAATCAACCTCGGCAACCAGCGTTAGTTTTCTAGCTAATGTCCGCATCCCGTTTCATGATATGTCTTGGTTATCCAAGATTTGTTTCACCGGTGTCAGGAGTCACAATTAGATCAATTTCTTGGTTCTCCACTTGCTTGTTGTTCTGTTCATGGTTTCTTGGGACTTCAAGATTTTCTGTCTACCCCACTCTGAGTTGAAGTTTCATATTCTTTATTTCAAGGCTTATTCAGATTATTGTTTGCCCGTTGTAGCCATCAAGAGTGGTATCAATGTTCGAGCGAGCTACATGAAGTTATTTTTCCTGAAGTTGAATGGAAGAGTGGTCATGATTTTAATTTGTAGTGAATGATTTTTATTTTGGATAATTTAAAAATAAAAATTTTTTACCTGAATATCTTGTAATTTTCTCCCCGCGTGTTACAAGTTTTCTGTAAATCTTTTAGAATAATTTCGAAATTTATAGCTCATTTCCGTGTTAGAAATTTGAAAGTTTATATTATGAAATTTTGCGTTTTTCAAAAAAATTATTGTTCAACCCTTCAAATTTAACAATGTTGGATTTCTACTAGGAGCCGCCTTTTGGTTCAATGGCACCTTATACTCCCTTGAAAGAGGGAGCGGGTTGTTGGTTCTATGCTGCATGGAGTGAGGGGGTAGGCATGTGTGCGTGTCACCGTTCCTTATGAGAGAATGGGTAGGTATGTGTGGGTTTTGTATATGATTTATTAAAAAAAATGTTGGAATTTGTATTGTAAGCCCATAATTTTGTTGAACTCTTTCGTTTTGTTATTAAAGATAAGAAACTGATCGGCAGAATTAATTGTTCATGAGCTTCACTAGTTAAAGAAAAGTGATAAATTTTTTTTTTTGAGCAAAACTGACATTCATTCACAAAATATAAAGAATTAAACTAATACAAACTACAACTAGGAGAGGTCAATCTAGCTATCATCATTCACCTCCTTTTTGGAATAGAAGGTGAGGAATGATCAAAGATGTACCTAGCAAGAGAATTAACATTACAATTAACATCCCTATAAATTACACCATTCCTAATAATTAACTCCTTCCTTTTTCAGGCTAGCTTCCCCCTTCTCTTTTTCCCAAGATATGATGCAATAACCATACATAATGAATGAAATATTAGAGATAACATAGCAGAGTGGAGCAATTCCTTCAAGGTGTGGAGTCAAGAAACCACACAAAAAAAGTAAAAACTGCCAACATCATTATGGAAGATCCAAATATCAAGAAAAAAGTGGTGATTCTATGTCAAGTATTGCGAAGCAAAATGCCATTAAAGATAGAAGGAATGGCAATTGTGATTGAAATTGTGATTGTGGACATCTCGATGCTTCCATAAGCCTAGTACTCAGTGCCATTCCTATTGCAATAGTGATGGAAATACTAGCCAAATGCTTTCCTAGTTCTTGCTTGTCGAAGATATCCATAGTATAGAGCAAATTGAATCTTTTCACCAACTCATTATTTTAGTTGCTGGGTGTGAATTTTCCCATCAATAACAGTCACATTGATGTCGATTATATCATGGAAGCAGTGACGAATCAGAAATAGGCATAAGGGGTAAAATTGAAAATTATTTAAAAATGAGGGCAAACACTAATGTTAATAAGAAAAATAAAAAAATTTCTCAAGGGCAGTGAAATTGTAGGGGGCCAGCGCCCCCTTGGCCCCCTAGATTCGTCCCTGCATGGATGGGAAGGTCCCTTCTTTCAGTACTACTTGTTGTTCCAGCTTGCGGCAGCTTATCCATCTCTCTAGATGATGAAAGATTATTTGCTAATGAAGACAGAGCAGCAGAAACTGAAAAGGAGTGAAATTCTAGTTTGATGGCGATATCAATCTTAACAACTTTTTAGGATTTTAACTCTGGGTATTGTGGTAGAGATTGTTGTCCAGGATCATTGTGAGGAGTAGCACTAGGAGGATGTCAATAAGATGAATTGAAGGATAAAGACATAAGAGTTAAAATTAAAGCCAAAAGAAGGAGCTCTGGTTTAGGTGTTTTTGGCAAAATCATCATAGCTAATTTTCTCCAGTGAGCAATAGATGGTAACAAACAAAACTAAGGGATCGTTGTTCAAGGCAGTAGAAACTATGTAAGGGACAAACTATGAAGGGACAATATGGCATGGGTTATATGGTGATCGATTTGATCCTAATTTTATGATTGGGGAAGATGTGTGCATGCGATTACTTAATTACTATACAAAATACAACCCTTTCATATTTTCTTCTACAAAAGAACTCCACTCTTTTAAAAGGATCATCGCTGAATGACCTAAGAGTACCTGTACACATTCTAGGAGACTTTGTCAAAGACGAAGACTCTTTCCTAATCCTTCCCTCCCTTCACATAGTGGGAGTGGGGCTTAATTTAAAAAAAAATTAAAAAGACCTCACTCCCTATGTGAAGGCAAAGAAGGGGCCAAGGGGAGTAAGGCGAGAGTATTAGTGTAACATCCTGAATTTTAATCCCTTAATTAACTAAGCTTAATTATAATAATTAAATAAATTATAGTGGTATATGGTTAGGGAGGTTTAATGACTGCCTTTGGGTTTGTTTCAACCTTAATTATGAGTTGGGTATAGAGTCGGGCCAACTGAGCATCAAAAAGAGAAGAAAATAAAGATTAAGTGCTATTGTGCCACACGTCGTGGTGTGAATCACATTCAACACGGTGCATAGACACAACACATGCAAGAAGAGGATCTCTCTATGCCATGCACCGTGGTGCATGTAGTATCCATCATGGTGCATAGTTTTTTGCAATTTATCAGTCACAAACTGAGGTAGAAATTAAAGAGAAAGAAGGAGAAATTGAGAACCAATAACCTGAGCTTTGCTACGGTTTGTTCTCGGATGACATTGGGAGTATTTTGAATGCTACAAACACCAAATGTAAGTATCATACTCATTAATCTCCCATTCTATTTCACATTTAATGAAGTTTATAGTTAGGGTTTGATAGTAGGAGATAATATTCAGTCTATATAGGTTACAGGTCTAAATCTATTGACTCAAATAGAATTAATGGGAGTCTATTAGAGTATTTAAACCTAGGTATATTAATTTTTAGTACTTTTAGTGATGGGCCTCATTATTATGCGAAAATGACATTAATGAGAATTGTTGGAAGAGTGTAGTGCCATTAATGAGAGTTTAATAGCTCATTAATTTTATTGAAGACTAAAAAAAGAGTTAATTAACCCAATGGATAGGCCCAAACTTATAAAAAGTGGGCATTAGATAATCTAAAAGTGAAAAATGAGAGTTGAAATGTGTGTGGTTGTCAAAGTTGATGAATTAAGGAATTGATAATTGTAGATGGAGCTCTGAGACACCATTTCAGCTTGGGAATTCAAGCTTGGAAGCTAGACTATTAAGGGGTAAACCTTTGACCTCTTAAAGGTTTGGCTAGTTATATGTTAATTGCTATATGATGTGAATTATATGTTTATCATGCAAATTATGGTTTGTGAATGTAGGTAACATGCAATGAAACTTTGTGTACACATAATTTTCTTGATGTGTGTTAAACGTGTGATAGTGATTGTGAAGTGAGCTTTGAAGTGGCAAATGTGATGTTCAAAAAAAATTTCCCTTTATAATGTGTTTTGAATGAGTGGTTGATAATGAGTATGATATAAATGAGTACAAGAGTTTGAAAATGGATTGTTGTGATAAGTGAGAATAATGTTATGAAATTGAATTAGATGCTCACTTAGGTAGCGCATTGTTGTGAGCCCAACATGTTGATTGTAATAATTAATAAATGAGAATGTGAAAATGAGAGAGCATCGCATGTGCTATGATTAATGGGTAGGAGTTTGCTTAGGGATTGGGGGTAGAGAAAATTTATATGGTATTTAGGCTTCCCTCCAATGCATAGGGACATAGCCTTGTCCCACAGTTTATCAAGGGATCATCCCATAGTTTATTGAGGGACTAGAACCTAGTTTTCTC